TATTTATTAAAGCATTATCGAAATTTAACCAAAAAAAAAAAAAAAAAAAATTATTACAATGAAAAATTCTACATTATAAAAATGATTTTCAGGAATTCATTTCTCGTAATATTTATAAAACATTCGAATTTAGAGATCTTTGTTTTCGGCATGCAATGAAAACTTTTTTTTTTTAATTCAGTGTTTAGCGGGATCTCAAAACATCACCGTTAAGAGAAGCCACTCCACTTACCGATCCGATTAAGGATCATTAAAATTTACGATGTACGTAATTACGACCGATTCGATTAACGATGTCGAACGAGCATATATTCGTAAGACACACCTCCCCTTTCCCCATCATTTAGTTCCATCGACACCATGCCGCGCACCACGGCTTCGGTTCCTGAAAAATCTGTTCGGCATACAAATAGGCATTGAAATTTAAGGGTTCACGTAATAGGCTCACAAATTTTGTTCTTTTCGAAGTTCGTTCACCCAATATAACGGGCTCATATACTAATTTCAAATATAAATAAATTGTTATTTATATTTTTTTTTCTTAAGATTTCTATACTGCTTATAACAAAGTTTCATGAAATTATAAATAATGAAAAAAATATCATGATCATCAATAGCAATTGAATTTATTCGAAAGATAATTTTCTTTAATTTTTTTTCTTTTTTTTTTTTTTGTGAAATAGTAATTACACAGACTTTGTAAAAAATGTTGTAAAAAAAAAAGTAATTGTATATATTTAAAAAAAATAAGATTATGAAAAAGTAATAATTGGAAAGGACAAAGATTTATGTTATATCCAAATTATTTAGGGAGGCAAAAGAATTTAAAACATATAAAAAAGCTCACGTAATTTTTAAAAGGCGGAACAGAATCGTTTCGTGACACGAAATTTAAGATTTCTAGGTCGGGATTTTGCTTTGAGATTCTGTATATGCATGGTTCATTGGTATTCCAGCGCTCGAGCGTGTCGTGTGCACGCTCAGTGATTCGTATGTAAAACACAGCACATCGTGGCCTTATCAATATGTATGACACCGAATTATATATCGATAATAATTGCCCATCGATGCGTAACATTAAAATTATCGATTGCGTATCGTATTCCTCTCGATTTTGCCTTCGGTTAAAAATAACTTTCTACATGAAAACGGTCACTGACCTGTTTCAAGGTTAAAGTTCATTTCACAAAAACTTTGAAATTCAGTTTCATCTTTGATACAAATTAATTAATGATTTTTACCAAATTTCATTATACTTTTAACTTATAACTTTACAACTTAATAAAGACAAATATGTAATTTCTTATAATAAAAAATAAATTATTCAAATACTATCTATTTCAATGCATATCTTATAAAAAAAAACATGATCATAAAACTTATTTTTTAACATGAAATATTAATTATTAATTAAATCAATAATAGAAATGAATATTATTACATGATTATGATACAACTTTAAATTACATGATCAGATTTCTAACTAATCAACTTTAAAACAATTATACATATCTATATAAAATACTATGCGATTCATACTATATATTATGTCCAAAATTAATTTGGCATATAGGAATATAAATTCTAATTATTAAAAGTAAATCATACAACAGAGTTTTGTACTTGAAATACATACAATCGTACGAGAAGATAGAAGATCAAAGAAACATATGCGTGTGCGTGCACAAGGTAGTTTAAAGAAGCTTAAACGACGAGCACGTTGTATTTCGAACGAGTCAACGACCGCAAAAAATACGCCAGTCATCTTTCGCTGTAATCGTATGTATGAGGAATGCGCGAATGCAATCTCTATGGTATAAGAATGATCATCGGGGATAAGAAGAAGAGGTGACGTGTATCTTCTAAGCTCCTTTGAAAGCACCCGGGAATTATTTATTAAATCAACGGGAAGCTCTATAAAATTCACAGTATAACGAATAATCCTCATCTTTTTCAACTTTATGAAAAATCGAAATTTATTTGACGTAATTAATCAATGATTAGATCTTTATCTCTTAAATATCAAACCAAGTTTATGTTGTATTTATATACTCGCGAAAGAAGGAACTGTGCTTTAAGGTTATGGTACATTTGTAATTTGAAAAATTATTTTGTAATTTTGAAAAAATGATTAGATAATTTAAAAAGATGTAATATATGTGTTAGAATAATAAAAATTTTATGGGAAGAAAAGAACTTTAACTATTTACAAAAAATTAAAGTTTATATAAATTTAAATCTTAGAATGAAAAGTAATCGATGAATAATGTATCAAATTGTATATTATAAACAATATTTATTAGGTTAATTTTTTTATGAATCATAATTGAAAGAAGATTGATTATTCAATAGATATTTAATTGATTTTATTGATTAAAGAATCTGGAAATGAGAATAATTAAAAAATAAAGATAATTAATCAAATTTTTTCCTTATCGCCGTATTCTATTATTTATTTTACGTCTTCAAAATATCTTTAAACATAAAATTAAACTTTTAGATGCATTGACGTGCAATTAAGTAAGGTTCCCCATAAAACAACCGAAGGGACAAATCACTGGTAGAATCGGTGAATCGCGAAGACATGAATCGCGCGCATGCGAGCAAACGACGAAGATGCGCAAGCACAAAATATTCCGCGTGTCGAGTTAAGGTTATCGAGGGTTATCGAAGAGAAAGCCCGTCCGTGTAGCTTGTTGCCTGACCGATTTACGGTGACGCGATACTCCCCCGGGTCCCGTTCCATTGAAATACACTATTGTCCTCAAACCGGGTGTAATACAATATGTAGGATCCATTTCGATGCTAAATTTAGCATTGATAAAAATAAAAGATAAATGCAAAAGTATTGCAATTTCTATATTTCATGTAATTTAAATTTTCAATAAAAATTGTTTAAGAAGAAATTATGTATTTTGTATTATTTTTCGAACAAAAAGAATTAATATGTATATAAATTATATGGTTATATACGTAAAATAAAATATTTTAAAATTAATTAATTCATACTATGGCGATTACTTATGAAAGCAAAAAGATAATAAATATTCTGATATTGCTTGTTTATCAGAATATAATTCACATTTATCTAACTTTTAAGTCTTGAATTATGTTGTATTATATAACATAATTCCATAAATAGTGTTAAACTGTAACATGATCATGATATGTGTAAGTACTTATGTATATCGAATGTTTTTCCCAATGTTATGGTGAATCGATATACGTTCTCAACGAACTATTAAAAAAGATAACAATGGACGAATTGTTCAATTGGAATAGTTTATACTATTGTTTAGCGTTTATTTAGATTTTTTCTTTTTTCTTTTTATTTATTCTTTGCTCTTTATTTCTTGCCTGTGAAAGTTAATTGAAGTTTGGGTGTGGGAAATTGAAAGTGGCAATATAGTGTTTATTAGAATATATAGAGAGAATATAGAGATTGTTTTAAATTTTAAGATTTTAGAATTTTTTTAATTATAAATATTAAATATATAATTTTTCTTATTAGAATAATAATATTTTTTTAAAATTCTTTTAAATATCCAGTAAAATCCTGATAAACACAAAATATATTTAACTATTAAAAAATTTTGTAATCTATATTTTGACGAAAGTAACAAAATTAAGTAATAATAATTAATCAAATAGTAATGAAATATAGAAAAAAGAAATAAAACATTATAGTTATCTAATAATGTTATAACAGATTTTTTTTTTTACCATTGCTAACTATTGAATATCAGATAAAATTCAAAATATTATTATATTAATTTTAAACTTCATAAATTTATAATTTGAAGTGTATTAAACACTGTTAACGAATGA